ACAGTTCTCTGAAGAATCATTAAAGCTACATGAAGATGAAGATATTTTTTTGATAGAGAATGTTGAAGAAGATTTTAGGTTATAATAAATTTAGGAAAAATCTCTGGCTCAATCTTCTTATGGATCCCAGGTTCTCACGGCGGACCGCATGTAGCCACACAGAAAACAACAACGAGTGTAGACATCACAGAATTACAGAGTTTAATCCAATAGAAGACAACGTATGAAATTACAACAGAAACTGCAGAACAGAGACATACATTCATTTACCTGAGACAAATGGAAAAGAAGAAGGAAAGACAAAAAGCAAAGACGTGCAAAGACGTCTTTGGAGAATTGCAAGAGCAAATCTAGTTTTGTTCCTCACCTGCACACATTTTTATAGTAAAGGCGTATTCTTGTTTTTAATTTATTCAAATAAGGCGTACCTTTGCTCATCCAACCAGCAGCTGTCTCTGACCCTTTTTAAAACTTCCTGCAAGTCACGATCTAAGACCATTTATCACCATTGTTTAAACGAAGTGAGAGCAGAGACTCTCCTGAACTCCTGCTGTTTTATAGCTTTTCACAAATGAGTGTGAAAAGCTGGAACTTCTCCTGATTGTTTCCCACACCGATAAAGGGCAGTTCAAAAGATCTTAGCAAATCATCTGCTGTAACTACAGATAACATAAAGGTCAATAGGGCAGAATAAGTTATTAATCTGAAAACTATAATTAGGCTATTTCAATCAAGACATGTTCAGTTTTAAAACTAGCATATTCTAAATTTATTTTCTTAACAAGTAGCACTCAAACATAGGGAGAAATACAAGTGAAAAAACTCAAACTAGGAATAAATCCTGAGACTCCCTGAGTTATTAAACAGGCTAAAACAAATGATCTGGATACATTTTTAACCCATCAGTTTCAGCAATAGAAATCCTGCTCTGACTTCATCTCTGCTTTTCTTAAAACTTTGTAACTGCTTGTTTTTCCTCTATTCATGAATTATTCTTCAATGAAAAAGAGGACCAGCCATTATGCTTCACAATTAACTAGGAGCGGTGATAAGTAAGCCGCCTGTCACATGGAGGGGAGTGTGTGGTTTTAAGTGTTTCTCTCACAAATATGCTACAAGTCTTGTTTTACACTAAACCTGTTTTATTCTCATAGCAGTTTACCTGCAGGATTTTCTTTTCTGGTTTTATTTTCAAAAACTGTTGTAGTTCATAGACACGGACTGCCTCTCGTCTCTGGTGATGTTGTATCTTATGATACGGTAGCCCTGACAAATTCCAGAGCTGTGATGAAACTCACTGTATGTTTGCAGCAGATTAATAGATTGAAAACATGTGCTTTCGCTGTCTCATGTCCCAGCAATTTATGCAGAAAATCCAATTTACTCCCCCGCCCCTTTTCACTTAAATCTCGTTAAATTTTGGATCCAAGCAAACCGTCCTCGACTAAAAGCGACTTGTGTGTGTCCGTTGTACAAGAAGTGAGCACAAATAATAAACCGTGTTGTGTTACATGAACTTAATGTCCAGGAAAGCTTACTGGTACTTTTACATAAGAGACTCAAAAAAGAAGAGATTTTTTGTAAAGAACAAAATTTAGATTTTTGACATTAAGATTCTAATATTTGAATTAGTATCCCAATTCCAGCCATCATGTCGCTGTATTAATACACAATAAGTGCCTGGAAAAGTATGTTTTAGTCAAATCCAAATCCTATGTTGCACTTAAAAATACAGTGTTGTACAAACCTGAATCACAAATATACAGTTTTCTGCTTATGCTTTATCTTTTACCTTTATAAAGCACTAGCAAGATTCAAGATTTTCACTCATCTTTTCAATAACTTTAAAGGTTGAAGTCTCAGAATGGGTTCCAAATATAAATCTGATCATACAACATTTTGGCTCATGCTGGCCTGGTGCCACGTTCCCCAAGATGCTACACGGTCGTATGGACGTATGCTACATGGTCGTATCGTGTTCCAACATGATGCTTGTGTTGGACGATCCATACCCAGCACAAAGGTCTGACAACAAAACAGAGCTCCGATTCAGAGCATGAGGTCCTTTCTCTTGATCACACCTCTTAAAGTCATTAATCATTTCCCAGGTGGTCGTTGAAGTCCCCAAGAGCACAACTGATTCCCTGAGTCAATCAGTCAATTGTCTGTTTTTTCCTCTGTTGGGATCAGATCCATGTTTATTGGGGAGAAACAATATTTTCATTTTTATACATCTACATTTGTCTGCCTTTCAATGTACTGACGGCCTGTTCAGCGTGTCGGCCGACTCTCACCCAGTGACCACTGGAGACCGGCATCAGAAGAAGAAAGTACATAGTTTTTCATTTATTTATTTTTTTTTCATTTGAGAACATAGTCTTCACTAAGTCGATTTGAATCTAAAACCTAACCTCATATTCCATAGTGTATGATTTCGATGAAGACTACAAATGCACTTAGTTCATCAATAACCGCCCACTGTGGCCACCTTTACGCAAGCATAAGTTTTGCTAATTTATTGGTCTGAGACAATGCCAAAGACTGAGACATAAGCAATGGTCTCAGAGAAGCGGCTGTGGGTTGTATTGCTGCACGTTCAGAGAAAGCTGAAGGAATTTTAATACTGTGAACTGTTCGAAACTGGCATGTTTTAAAGACAGAGAAATCCAAACGAAACAGATGAGGTCCAAAACTATACATCTATATTTATGTAGCAAACCCGGTTACATACGACTTTCAGCCAAGAAATATGACGTTTCAAGCGCTCTGTTTCTAGACCAGAATAAAATAGGAAACCAGTACAGGTGACAAATGAAATCAGGATGTGACACACAACTCACTACCAGGTATGACTGGAACCTAAACTCTGTCCCGCCTCCCAGCATCTCAGAGTGAGCAAAAGACTTTAGCTGCTTTGGCAGTCATACACACTGAAGGACTGCTTGGGGACAGATAGAAACAGCTTCTTGTTAACACTCGGCTCACTTCCAGGCGCTCACAACCAGCAACCGTGGGTAAGTGAGCTTTGATTTTGATGAAAGGATTCTGCTACTTGAACCTGGTCTAAAATGTAGATGTAATGAATGCATTTATTCCTCTCAATGTTATGGCCTGGGCAGCTGCAGATTTTTTTGTTTTGTTTAAAAGAAGCTTTTGAACTATTAAGGACTGTGGTGTGGTTACTCTGAATTCACAGTGTTTCAACAATGTCTGAAAAGTTCATTTTTATTAGAAGCCACAAAGAAGAGGAGCTGTAATATTGTTGAACCACTCTGCTTTCTCAAGACAACAACACAACCTGAAAAAGGCACATAATTTTGACCTGCTAGTGTTCGGGCTTATCTGTCTTCTGATGCACTTACACAAACTGAAATACTTTTCCACATGACATACATTACTGTGAGGCGGAGGATGGGGGAGGGAATAAACTGTGCAAAGGCACATCCGCAAATACTACAGTAGATACTTCAGATAAGTGCACACATCTTTCCATTTATTATCTCTGACATTTTTTTCTTGAAGCCTGGAGATAAAGTTTTGATTTCGAAGTTTACCCTTTTATGTTAAACATATTCAAAACTAGTTTTCTCAGCAACCAAATCCATAAAATCCCATGTCAAAAGTAAGCAAGGCATTCAAAAAAAATGTGGGTGTTACGCTTTGAAAAATGCCCTTCTCAAAGCAAGTTCAACTATAGAAAACAATATTTTTTTTCCTATCTTATAAGTGAAAAGCATCAGGCAATGGAACTAGTACGTTTTTTTTTTATCAATAGTCAGAAATTATTGAGCTCTTATATCTTGCTGAAAAGAAACTTCTAAGTTAGTTTTGCCTTATTTCAAACATACTGACATATTATGCACTAGAAACTAGACCAAAAATACTTTGTAAGATTTTGTGTTTTGGTTTATTTTGCAGAGCATTCTCTATCATATTTTGGTTTACGTTAAATATTTTTGAGGCTGGTTATTTTAAATTAATCAGTCAACTTTTCCAGTCGTTAATGTATGTGAAACATTGAGAAATAGAAATAAAATCGACAGCGGCTTCATGTTAAAATACCGTCCATTCAGACTAAAAGTAAAGAGTGGTGGTCTTAATCAGAATTTTACTATGTTTACAAAGATCAACTATAATAAAAAAAATAATCAATAATAATAAAATAATTATAATAATCAGACAGCTCCTTCTCGACAACCATGAGGAGCCAGCCTATGAGGCTTCAAAGTTTAATGTGAGAATCAATACAGTGGATCACTTAACAGATGGAGGAGGCAGCGGCTCCCTGAGGAAATCGTTGCCAGGAAGAACTCTAAATAGTTCCACCGTCGGCTCCGGTGTCGTTCTGAACCTCAAGATGAATCCTGTGTGCGAGGCTGGATGGAATTCCTTCTTTTTAACTCAACGTTATTACATTACAGTTTTCTGTGCATCAAGAGTATTTGACTGGCTTTGTGTCGTTTGTGGAATGATGTCAAATATTCCACATTGCCATACTTTCCCGTGTCTCATGTAGTTGTTTGGAAGCTCTGGTGAACTCTCACCTTCTGAGTTGGTTCTAAACGCAGGCTGGAGGCAGGACCAGTCAAAGTAAAGCAGAAGGTTATTAAAAAGATGCACTCATAAGAAAGGTGTGCAGAGCAGACCAGGAGAAACCAGTGGCACATGGAAATGTCGATACGGGGATCTAACAATGAATGTGAGAGATCTGGCAGTATACATATGCAGTGAGGAGGTGATTACTGATGCAAGAGCAGGTGGGGCTAATTATCTGAATGTGCAGCAGCTGTGGCAAGGCAGGAGCTGAGGTAGTGAGGGGGAAAATTTATAGAAAATCAAAAAGAGATTAAAAGAAAGATGACAAGAATAAATTCAAAATCATATGAATCCACCGAACTAAAACAAAGTGACAAAAACATTGTGTTGGTTTGTTCATTAAGTTTAGACATGATGTTAGATTTCTTTTGGTAATATTTTGGCTTGTGTTTTTAATTTTTAAGCAGGGAGAAGACTGCGAGCACCAGAACCCGCCACACAGGACGATTCAGTGAGTAACCGGAACCTACTGGAAAATCACACTCTACTATTTCCCTGATCTGTACCTTTATCTAAACTTACTCCACAAGCATGATGTACGTTCATAGTACGAATGACAGAAATAACTTTGTTTTCATGTTAGCTGACTTTGTTCACACAGATATGCGAAGAGCCGACTCAGTTTGCCGAGGGGGAGAGACCCCGGCCACAAGGGTCATCCCCGGTCCAGGAGTATCCAGAGGGGGCAAAATACGCTGACAAAGAGGTACAGAGAGCAAAGATACAGCTGAGCTGCACAGACATGAACCGTCCAGGAAAGGAAAGAGAAATTAGTCTGAGTTGATTTTCTTTCTCAGCTGAATTCATTTGGAAATACTTTAGCATTTTGATTCTGGATTTTATTTCTACTGAGTCCAAATTTCTACAATGATGGAAAAAGTAAACATGAGATCTGCCAGAGCTCACAGTGGGGAAATCAGTGGTTTCTCACTTAGACTCTGTTTGCATAACAACGTTTCCAAAAGTGTTTTTTGTTGCACATCTGACAAAAATTGTGTTTACACACAAGCGGTACTGGAAAAGGTGCAGTGTGAATTTCAGACCAGTAGGAGGCGGTGAAACTTTGTGTATTTTCTGATCCAGACGTGTGTTTATATAATCATTCTATATGTCTTTGCTGACTGCATACATTTTCCACAATGGGCAGATTTCACATTTTTATTTTTTTTAGACCTTGCTTTAACACACCACATCATCTGTGGAGGTGCAGCAGAAAAGAAAGAACATGGAGATCCACCATTGTTATAGATTTATGCTGTGCGTGGGTCAAAACTTAGTCCACAAGCACAAGATGGGCTGACTGATGCCATTGTTTCCATAATGTTTTCACTTTGCACTTTGAAAGGATTTGAGTCGCATTTCATTTTTAAAAAGTTTCGTTCTGGAGCCCGTTGTCAAACCTTTGCGTCTTTGTCAAAAAAAAAAAAAAAAAAAAAAAAAAATCGCCCGCCCGGAAAAAAAAAAAACAAAACATTTTTTT